GGCGGGCTTGCTGCGCGTGCCGGGCGGGGAAACTGCGCGAGCCGGGCGCCTGAGAACGTTCCCCGCGGGGGCGGCTCCGGGGCCTGAGCGGGTGCCGCCGCCACCTCAGCCGCCGGGGCCGGGCCGGAGGACGCGGAGGAGGCTGCGGCCGCCCGAGACCTTCTCGACGTCCCCAGCTCCGGCCGGGAAGTGAGAGAGGTGGGGGTTCGCGGCGGCGGTCGCGGGCTGCAGGAGAGGAGCAGGGTGCTGGAGCCTCGCGCCCGCGAGGAGCGGGAAGGAGCCCGCGCAGCGCCGGGACCTCGGGAGCCTGCGGGGGTGCAGGGCCGGGAGCGGCGGGGACGGGGCTCCGGGAGCCGGGGCCGCTGCACCGCGCGCGCTGCGAGGGGAGACGGTGCCGCGCGCCTGGCCCTGGAGGATTTTAATGAGGGGATGGAGCGGAGCCCCGGGCCGGCGCTGCCGGGCTCTGAGTGCCGGGCCGGGGAGGGGGGTCTCCGGGGTCCCGAGCGCACCGTGGCCGCAGGGCGCGGGGCCGGGGTGCGGGCGCCGGGCTGATGCTGCTGAAGCCCGGCTCGCTGGGAGGAGGCTGTGCGTTAGGTGCTGTAAGGGGCGAAGGAGGCAGGTCCTGGCAGAGGGCAGGTGAGGCAGTTAGGCCCTGGCAGAGGGAAGGGAATGTATTTCAGATCACCCCCAAACACTGTTTGCCGAGGCTCCTAACAGTGAACCTGTGCACCGAGGTCACCTTTGAAAGGAAGGTGTCCTGCGAGGAGGGAGGATGGAGCTAACAAATGCTTGCTGTTAAATTCCTGTGCCAGGCCTTGGGATTAGGAAGACCTTCCAGCATTTCTAGCAGACGTTTATTGATTAGCTACCTTGGGTTAGAGAACCGTGGTCAGCACTGGGGCCACAAAATAGTGTAAAACACAACCGTAATTTGCTATTTAGGTGCTGACAATTTGGTAGTGAAGGTATGCGTGTAGAATACAAAGTGGCATTGAATTTCGCCTCATACTTCATTCACTTTAGGTCTTTTCCCAGTGTTGGGAAATTGGAGTCATAAATTGCTTGGTTTGGGGATAAAGCAGAAGAGTCAGAGGAGCTTGTGGGGGAAATTTGGGAGAGTTTTGAAGGCAGTTCTGCCTAACATTTAAAGGGGGAGAAGGGAAGTTCCCTTCCTTCCCTCCTCGAATTAAGCTCGGTGACTATCACTGCTAAATCCTCAAGGACAAGAACAGTGCCTGGCCCACAGCAGTCAGGCAAAAAATAGTACTGCATGAATGAATGAACCAAGCAAGGTTTTGCTGTATTTTACACGCAGCAGTATTAATTATTTTGGTATTAGGGATGGCTGATGGACTTCCTCTGTTCCTGAAATATTCTTTCTTTTCTTCTCCTTTTTCTTCTTCTTCTTTTTTTTTTCTTGTCTTGTAAGGTAGCCCAGGTTTCTAGGTCTGGGGATTTAAAGCAATGGCCAGGGTGATGGAGTGGTGATGTTTTGGGGCCACCCTGCCACTTCTTTATTGCATATTGGCCATCAGGAGCTTACTTCTTGGGACATTGCTTCAAATCATCCAATTCTGGCCCTTCTCTTTTCTATCACTCAGGAAGAAGAGTACTTTTGTCTAGGCAACATTTTTTTTCTCTTTTATCCTGGTTCTTGGATCTTCCATCTGCAGTAAGAGACTCTCTCTGCTCTTCTGTAAGGGCTGCAATTCTACCTGTTGTCTGCCATGGTTGGATTTCTGGGCTCTCCAGCTCCCAGCTGCTGTTTCAGTGCCCGGGGTTGCAGTGCCTGTTGGATTACTTTGTCTGCCAAATTAAAACTTGACCTTTTATGAGTTCTATGAGGATTTTTATCATACATAAGTGGAATTACCTTTGGAGAGGGTTACGTAGCTGAAGTTGTGCTAGCAAGGTTTTTGAGTGTTCCCTACCCATGAGACAGATTTTCTACTAAAACCAATAGAATGCCAAGTTACCTTTTATTTTATGACTTTTTTCTTTTTTTTTATTTTATGACTTTAATAGAAATCTTTTAAGGGCCCTCGTGCCCACGTATAAAAAACAAGGGTAATATATATATTTTTAAAGATTTTATTTATTTATTTGAGAGAGAGAGTGAGAGAGAGAGAGCACAAGAGGGGGTAAGGTCAGAGGGAGAAGCAGACTCCCCGCCAAGCAGGGAGCCCGATGCAGGATGACCTGAGCCAAAGGCAGTCGCTTAACCAACTGAGCCACCCAGGCGCCCAAAAAACAAGGGTAATATTAATCCAGATTTGGTCTCGTGCTGTAAGCCTTGAAGAACTAAGTTCATATCTCTTTCGTTTCAGAGTACAACCAGCAGGAGTCCATCAGTTCTTGTTTTGGGGTACCCTAGTCCTGTTATTTTGGGTGCCTTATTCCAGGTTCTCCCAGTGATATTATAATATATCCGTATGTTTATATTTCTTTTAAAATCAACTTTATGGATGTGCAGTTGACATACAATAAAATACCCAAATGTCTGTGTACAGTTGGATGAGTTTTGAAAAATATATATACTTTGTAACCACTATCCCAATCAGGATGTAGAAATTTTGGGGTGCCTGGGTGGCTCAGTCGTTAAGCGTCTGCTTTCGGCTCAGGTCATGGTCCCAGGGTCCTGGGATCGAGCCCCACATTGGGCTACCTGCTCAGCGGGAAGCCTGCTTCTCCCTCTCCCACTCCCCCTGCTTGTGTTCCCTCTCTTGCTGTGTCTCTCTCTGTCAAATAAATAAATAAAATCTT